CCCAAACAGACATATGCATATAATACATGATATGGAGGAAGCATTACCAGTATAAACGGCTAAAGTCACCCACCTGCAACCCGTTTGGGACACTCATGCAGACACACGCTACACCCAAAAAAAAAATCTATGAAGGTTCGAGTCTACTTATGGCAGTTTGTGATACAGTGTTCATTCTGGTATCAAAATACTCGTTTCAGTTTGTAGTTCATGCGATTTTCAGAATCAACTGAATCGCTGGAGGTTCAACATTTGAGTAAGTCATCTGACAAAACCGTCTCGTCAAATGGCAGTGTGCCAGACATCTCGGGTTCTGATTCGGTTGCTTCTTCAGCTTGGTGTTGAAGTGAACAAGGGCCGCCTCACACCAGATGGTCCAGGAGTTTGCATGGCGTCAGCATAGGCAGGACCTGTCATCATTTATGTCTGGAGCGTGCCGCAAGTGTTGAGATACTGTTGCTGTTTGAGGCCAATCTTCCGGGTCCCAGCACAATAGGGCCCAATTTGCCACCTCGTGGAACTGTAGCAATGTTAGCTTTTTTTGATCAGTTGTGTTGTATTTGTACAAAACAAAGGCATTATGCAAAGCCATTTGCAGGAAATAAAACGTTATCTTTTTGGTCCACTTGTGAGTTTTCCTGGTAAAATGGTAATACCATTTGATCGAAGTGGTCCACACCTTTCATGAACTTATTGTACCATGCAGCCTAGTGGTGAGAAAGAGAGCCTCATGGCGCGCAGTTTGAAACAAACCCAAAGTAAATCGGATTAAAATTGAATTTTATACAAATATTTTTTATGAGGACGTAAATTTATGTCCACATCTCAGAAGTGGTGAGGTGAAACAGGACTCCGGGCGGAGTCCTCATCCGCAGAAAGTGTTAAGCCTGTAAGGCAAGATTTACCCTCCCTGAACCCATGTTGATGGGTTGTCACGAAGTCCCTTCTCTCCAGATGTGTTACTAGGTTTTTTCTCACGATCTTCTCCATCACCTTGCATGGTATACAAGTTAAGGACACTGGCCTGTAGTTCAGTGCCTCTTGTCTGTCGCCCTTTTTGTATATTGGGACCACATTAGCCATCTTCCATATTTCTGGTAGGTCTCCCGTTTCCAGTGACCTACTATACACTATGGAGAGTGGCAAACAAAGTGCTCCTGCACTCTTTCAATACCCATGGTTAGATTCCGTCCGGCCCAACAGCTTTTCTCCTGTCCAGCTCCAATAGGTGCTTCTTGACCTCATCTCTTGTAATTTCGAACCCTTCCAAGGTCGCCTGGTTTTCTGCCACCTCTCCTAGTGCCGTGACCTTGTTCTATTATAAAGACCTCCTGGAACCTTTTGTTGAGTTGTTCACACACCTGTCATTTTCTGTGTACCTGTCCTCACCCGTCCTAAGTTTCATCATCTGTTCCTTCAATGTTGTCTTCCTCCTGATGTGACTGTGTAGTAGCTTTGGTTCGGTCTTGGCTTTATTAGCTTTATCATTTTCATACCTTTTCTCAGTTGATCTTCTCACCCTAACATACTCGTTCCTGGTTCTCTGGTGTCTCTCTCTACTTTCTGGTGTTCTGTTATTACGGGAGTACCTCCATGCTCTTTTGTTCAGCTCCTTTGCTTTCATACATTCCCTATTAAACCACGGATTCTTCTTTTGCTTCTCGGTTTTTCCTGTCAGGCCGGGATAAACCTGTTTACAGCCTCCTGACACTTTTGGGTGACATAGTCCATCATGTCTTGTACAGACTTGGTATGAAGTTCTGTGTCCCATTGTATATCCTTAGGAATTTATTCATCTCCTCATAGTTTCCCTTTCCGTACGCCTGCCCTTTGTTTCCCAGTTCTTTTTTGGTGAAGATAATTCCTAGCTCAACCAGGTACTCAAAACTCAATATACTATGATCACTCATTCCCAAGGGGGCTTCCAACTTAACTTCCTTTATATTCGACTCATTTAGGGTAAACATCAGATGTAGCAAAGCTGGTTCATCCTCTCCTCTCATTCTTGTTAATCCCTTGACGTGTTGACTTGGAAAGTTTCTTGTTGCCACGTCCAGCAGCTTGGCTCTCCATGTGTCTGGTCCTCCATGTGGGTCTTTGTTCCCCCAATCCATCTTCCCATGTTGTGTAGCGTGTCTGTTGTGAGAAGCGCGCATTTTAAAACTAGTCCCATAATAATCCAACAATAAATGGAATTTTAACATATCATTTTGGACACAGCGTGCTTCCTCGCGCACACTGAGTCAGACGCACAATGCGTCTGTATATGAATAATCGGTCAGGCAAAGTGTTAAAATACCAGTGTTCTAGCCATGGGCTTTTTCCTGAACAGTGCCTCTCAGCATGTTTAACATGCTAGGCTCAACTGACAATGCGCAGTGATTGTTCATTCTCTGTCTGGCTGGTTCATCATTACTATTACTTACTACTACTACTGCTTGTAATTACCTAAGTGTAGGTACAGGATGAGAGCTACGCTCGTGGTGTCTTCCCAGTCTTCCCAGCACTGTCATATAACGCTTTGAAACTACTGACGGTCTTGGCCTCCACCACCTTCTCCCCTAACTTGTTCCAACCGTCTACCACTCTGCGAAAGTGAATTTTCTTATATTTCTTCGGCATCTGTGTTTAGCTAGTTTATATCTATGACCTCTTGTTCTTAAAGTTCCAGGTCTAAGGAAATCTTCCCTATCGATTTTATCAATTCCTGTTATTATTTTGTATGTAGTGATCATATCACCTCTTTTTCTTCTGTCTTCCAGTTTTGGCATATTTAATGCCTCTAACCTCTCTTCGTAGCTCTTGCCCTTCAGTTCTGGGAGCCACTTGGTAGCATGTCTTTGTACCTTTTCCAGTTTGTTGATGTGCTGCTTAAGATATGAGCACCACACAACCGCTGCATATTCTAGCTTTGGTCTAACAAAAGTCATGAACAATTTCTTTAGTATATCGCCATCCATGTATTTAAAGGCAATTCTGAAGTTAGAAAGCGTGGCATAGGCTCCTCGCACAATATTCTTTATGTGGTCCTCAGGTGACAGTTTTCTATATAGAACCACCCCTAGATCTCTTTCTTTATCAGAATTCTTTAACGATTTCTCACATAATATATAGGTTGTGTGGGGTCTCTGTTCTCCTATTCCACATTCCATAATATGGCATTTATTAACATTTATTAACATTAAATTCCATTTGCCAAGTGGTGCTCCATATACTTATTTTGTCCAGGTCATCTTGAAGGGCATGACAATCATCTAAGTTTCTTATCCTTCCTATTATCTTAGCATCATCAGCAAACATGTTCATATAATTCTGTATACCAACTGGTAGATCATTTATGTAGACAATAAACATCACTGGTGCAAGAACTGAACCCTGTGGTACTCCACTTGTGACATTTCTCCAGTCCGATACATTGCCTCTGATCACTGCCCTCATTTTTCTATCGGAAAATTTTTCATCCATGTTAGAAGCTTACCTGTCACCCCTCCAATATTTTCCAGTTTCCAGAACAACCTCTTATGTGGAACTCTGTCGAAAGCCTTTTTTAGGTCCAGATAGATGCAGTCAACCCAACCATCTCTTTCCTGTAATATCTCTGTTGCTCGATCATAGAAACTGAGTAAATTCGATACACAGGATCTTCCAGATCGAAAACCATACTGTCTGTCTGATATTATATCATTTCTCTCCAGGTGTTCTACCCATTTAGTTTTAATTATTTTTTCCAATATTTTGACTATTACACATGTCAGTGATACCGGTCTATAATTAAGGGGGTCTTCCCTGCTTCCACTTTTGTTGATTGGAACTATGTTAGCTTTTTTCCACACATCAGCTACAACTCCTGTAAACAGGGATGCCTGAAAAATCAGTTGAAGAGGAATGCTGAGCTCAGGTGCACATTCTCTCAGAACCCATGGTTAAACTCCATCTGTACCAACTGCCTTGTTGTTATTTAGCTCCTTGAGCATTTTTTCCACTTCGTCTCTAGACACCTCTATGTGCTCTGTTGTTCTCTGGAATTCTTATTGTATCTGGTTCCCTGAAGATTTCATTTTGTACAAACACACTTTGGAACTTTTCGTTTAATGTTTCACATTTCCTTTTCATTTTCCATGAATCTATTTTCCATTTTCAACCTCTGTATATCATCCTTTACCTGCAATTTGTTGTTTATGAATTTATAGAATAGACCTGGTTCTGTTTTATATTTGTCTGCAATCCCTTTTTCAAAATTTATTTCTGCCTCTCTCCTCACTGCCGTGTAGTTGTTTCTCGCATCTTTGTATCGCTGGTATGTTTGGGGGTTCGGCCTCTTCCTGTATTGATTCCATTTTTGTGTCTTGGTCTCTGGCCCTCTCGCACTTTCTGTTGAACCAATCCTGTTTCCTAGTTCTGCTTCTCTGTTTTTGTATAAATTTTTGTGTGCCTTTATCATATATTTCACAAAACTTGACATACATCTCATTCACTTCCTTGCCTAGCAACAAGTCTGTCCAATTATACCTACTAAAAAAATTTCTAAGGTTGCCATAATGTCCTCTCCTAAAGTCAGGTTTTTCAATTGTGAATAGTACCATGATGTCTTTAACATTTCGTGTTACTATCCGAGTAGCTCTCGGTGAATACATGGCTTTGTTTTCATGCTGTGCATATGTATTACCTGCATTACTCGATACCTGTAACAAGCAGGTATCGAGCATGTATTGTTTGTGTAATTACCTAAGTGTTCTTTTGGTATGAGAGCTACAGTCATGGTGTCCAGTTTTCCCAATAATATCTTGTGAAATTCTAAAGTTTCTGATAATTTTAGCATACGTTACCCTCATTTGTTTTAGTCCGTTAGTCTACCAATCTGTTCATAAAAGGTTTTTGTTGTTTCTACCCTTGATCTTGATAGTGTGCATATTTGTACTTTGTTTATTATATCATCACTAAAAATGTTATACAATTATTGAAATAAAATGTAAGCCTTTTATTTTTTGGCCTATCCGCAGACTTCATTGTTAAACAAAACAGCAGAGGCAGAAGACTTGCATAAAAAATACAAAGCTTCCAGTCAGGCTCTGGGACTACTTAAGGAAGAGATGGGCACAGCAGAAGTCAGCATTATTAACCTGAAAACGGAAAAGCAATCTCTTAATAATACATTGGTAACACAAGATACAAAGATGAAGTGTCTCTACAAGGTAAGTGTGAGGGTACAGTGCTTCAGGCATGTTCTTTGGGGTTAATTGATAGTAGTTACCACCATTCCGATGTATGCCATTCAGAGTGTAGTCAGTTTGTTCGGTTGCAGTCTTCTCCTTTACTTGTGAAGACTGAGATGGGCCTCTTGCTGGAGGGATGCTTGGTTGGTCAAGCCGGGGGTGCATCATTTGTTGTCTGGTTGCGGCTCTTCGTTACCTGCGCCCCTCGGCTTCTGTGGCCAGGGATGCGCTTTGGGTTGATCCGGTTTCCCTCGCTCTATGTTCCAGGGATTGGGTCTTCCAGGTTGTCTGCAGGGTTATTAAGTCTAGCCAGCCTGCGGTCTATCCCTGTGCCCATGACGTGCATCAGTTTGCTTCTTTGGCTGCCGTTTTTGGCTCCAGGTCTTGGGCTGATATTTGGGTGTGGGAAATTTGATGCATATTGATGCATATTCCAATTTTTGATCTCGCAAAGGTTGTGGACAATTTTTGTAATTCCTTGCATACACATTTGCAAGAATTAATGATTAATAAGTTACTGGGCTGACTAATATAGAAGTATGTGAGGGTTGTGATGTCACTGTTTACTACATACATATGTACGTACATGGATGGTGTCACGAGAGGTCGATGTACAAATGTTAAAATATAAACCAAGGTCATAGGCCTAATATGATTATAGTACCAATATATACTGTTTGGACCCAAACAAATTTCATGTTTTTTACTATTAATTTTGTAAATGTAAAAAAATGCAGGTCAAAACCAGAATGTGGAGTATGGTGCCGGTATCTCAAGCCCAATAAATAACAAGAAAATGTGCAAAGATATGCAACTAAATGGCTTCCAGAATTGAAAAACAAGAACTACGAGGAAAGGCACAAGGTGTCTATCTACTAAAACGAGAAGAGAGAAGGAAAAAGCGGTAGTATGATCACTGCTGTACTCATAAAATAGTAGCAGGAATTGACAAAGAAAAATTCTTAAACTGCAAATTCAAGAACAGATCATAAATTTAAACTAAGGAAACAAAGTTACTGAAGAAATGTAGAAAGTTCAACTTTGCAAATACTGTAGTAGTAGATGGTTGGAATAAGTTAAATGAGGAATGCTCCTCCTGGCACTTGTGTTGTCCTGTCTTGAGTACTGCTCAGTACTCACTTCCCCCTTCAGAGCAGGAGAGATTGCTGAAATATAGGGAATACAGAGAACATATACGGCACGCATAGACGAGATAAAGCACCTAAATTATTGGGATCGTCTCAAAGCCCTCCAAATGTACTCGCTACAAAGGAGACGAGAGAGATACCAAATAATATATGGAAAGTACTGGAGGGCCAGGTAACAAACCTACACCGTAAAATAACAACTTACTGGAGTGAACGATATGAAAGAAAATGCTGAATAGAACCAATGAAGAGCAGAGGTGCCATAGGCACAATCAGAGAATACTGTATAAACATCAGAGGTCCACGGTTGTTCAACACCCTCCCAGCGAGCATAAGAAATATTGCCGGAACAACAGTGGACATCTTCAAGAGGAAACTAGATTGTTTCCTCCAAGGAGTGCCAGACCAATCGAGCTGTGGTGGATATGTGGGCCTGCGGACCGCTTCAAGTAACAGCCTAGTGGACCAAACTCTCATAAGTCAAGCCTGTCCTCGGGCCGGGCGTGGGGAGTAGAACTCCCAGAACCCCATCAACCAGGTATCAATCAGGCCAAAACTGTTAGTAGTTTGAGTGTGTCATGTGACAGAGTACCGGGAAGACAGTACACCATGACCTTGGCTCTTATTCAATAAATTCACTTTGATACATATATACTATATATAAATACATAGCCACTTTTCATGGCATTTAACAGCACTCTGCTAACTCCATAAGTATTCATTGTTCTCCAGAATTTATTGGGTTTTTTTTCTGGGGGAGCCCCTACGGCTCCCAGGAGCTTACCAGGCTGATATGCTAATGTCAGACTTTGGCATCAGTCATGTATACGGAGTTCTTATGGGCCTACCGGGGACCACGAGCCAGAACCTGGCCCCCCTCAGAGAGGCAAGGGGAGCAATGGCCTATTGAAACCCCCGTGTGGTTGGAAGTATTCCATGTCTGCCATCGACCGGGTTAGGCACCCAGAAAGGTAGGTGTCCCAAAACAAACCCCCTATTCTGGTGAAAATTGCAACCAAACGCCGAACGAGTGGATAGAACTCCCCAAACAAAAACGAGCAAACTAGTATGACGTCATTCGTCGTTGCGCCGCTGTCTGCGCAGCCCTCCCTCCCTGGGAGAGGGAAGGGGGAGCCCCAGACCTACCGTGCCGGCGATCCACACCCCAGTTCTTCGGCTGATGGTAGTGGCACCGGTTGTGTGCTCCGACTCCAGTGGTTGTTTCAGCACAGTACCTAGTGTGGTGTCTGTCTTCTAGGTGGTGCATGAGCCGGGAGAGAGAGTTCTCTTCCTCCTTCCGGTGGTTCTCCCTGCTAGGTCCCCGTGAGTGTACACGTCCCGGGGTTCAGCTCTTCGAATGTTGTTTGGTAGCCATGGGCGCCGGTTAGCAGTACCCTGCCTGGGATTACCTGAGCGCGAGTCCTCTTATAGTAAACGCTCGGGACCCTGGGAAACCCCTAGGGGGAGTGTTGGCCCGATAGATGTGGCCCCGGTGTCTCCCCCCTCGCTTTATGTGAGTTTGAGGGTTGCTCTGTCCCCTTGTCTCGGGGTGACTCTCACGGTTTTGCCTCCATCTGCAGCCTGTGGGGTCGGTGACACCTTCAGCCCAGGGTCCTACAAGTTTTGTTGGTTGTTTGTGACTCGGTTACCCAGTCTTATGCTGACTATGTGGGTGCAGGCTGCACGGGCGTTGCACATTGGGTTTCAGTGCCAACACGCTAGTTTGCTCCCTGGAAGCCCCGAGGCTGCCCCGTTTTCGTTAGTGGTCTTGTTGGGTCTCTCCCCCTTCCTCCCTACATCCGGGTCTATGCTGTCTGTGGGTTCGGGGTCAGTGCGGGGCTTCCATGGTTTTGAGACTCGGTTGGCCTCGGGGACTTCTCCTTCCGGGGTAGCGATGGGGGCATTCGAGCCCGTTTCCTCCAGCTGTGTTGTAAGAGTCTGCCAGTGGGCTCCCTTCCTTAGTGCTTTTCACGGCTGCCCCGGTTTCTTTAAGCTGGGGCTTTGGGGGGGACAACTCGGCCCCGGGGCCTGCCCGATGGGTTCCCGTTGCTGGGATGGGGCTGACGTGGGGGTGCCTCAGGTCCCGTTGGTCCCCACTGGGGTTTTTCTACCCCTCTGGGTGGGGCTTGCGGTTTTGTGGGGTGGGGTTTTTCCTTTCCCCCTCTCCACACGAGTGTTTGGGCGTCGGTTCCTTGTCGATTATGCCCGTTGCTTCTGTCCTGTCGGTGGGTGCTTTTCTGCGTTCTTCACCCCTTTTTCCCAGGGACGGGTCTTCTCCGTCATGTCCCACTCTTCTTGGGGTTCTGCATGACTTTTGGTCTCGGGTGCGACCAGGTTTTTCTGTGCCTTTGTCCTTTGTAATTACCTAAGTGTAATTACCTAAGTGTAGTTACAGGATGAGAGCTACGCTCGTGGTGTCCCGTCTTCCCAGCACTCTTTGTCATATAACGCTTTGAAACTACTGACGGTCTTGGCCTCCACCACCTTCTCACTTAACTTGTTCCAACCGTCTACCACTCTATTTGCGAAGGTGAATTTTCTTATATTTCTTCGGCATCTGTGTTTAGCTAGTTTAAATCTATGACCTCTTGTTCTTGAAATTCCAGGTCTCAGGAAGTCTTCCCTGTCGATTTTATCAATTCCTGTAACTATTTTGTATGTAGTGATCATATCACCTCTTTTTCTTCTGTCTTCTAGTTTTGGCATATTTAATGCTTCTAACCTCTCCTCGTAGCTCTTGCCTTTCAGTTCTGGGAGCCACTTAGTAGCATGTCTTTGCACCTTTTCCAGTTTGTTGATGTGCTTCTTAAGATATGGGCACCACACAACTGCTGCATATTCTAGCTTTGGCCTAACAAAAGTCATGAACAATTTCTTTAGTATATCGCCATCCATGTATTTAAATGCAATTCTGAAGTTAGAAAGCATAGCATAGGCTCCTTGCACAATATTCTTTATGTGGTCCTCAGGTGATAGTTTTCTATCTAGAACCACTCCTAGATCTCTTTCTTTATCAGAATTCTTTAAAGATTTCTCACATAATATATAGGTTGTGTGGGGTCTATGTTCTCCTATTCCACATTCCATAACATGACATTTATTAACATTAAATTCCATTTGCCAAGTGGTGCTCCATATACTTATTTTGTCCAGGTCTTCTTGAAGGGCATGACAGTCATCTAAATTTCTTATCCTTCCTATTATCTTAGCATCATCAGCAAACATGTTCATATAATTCTGTATACCAACTGGTAGATCATTTATGTACACAATAAACATCACTGGTGCAAGAACTGAGCCCTGTGGTACTCCACTTGTGACATTTCTCCATTCTGATACATTGCCTCTGATTACTGCCCTCATTTTTCTATCAGTCAGAAAATTTTTCATCCATGATAGAAGCTTACCTGTCACCCCTCCAATATTTTCCAGTTTCCAGAACAACCTCTTATGTGGAACTCTGTCGAAAGCCTTTTTTAGGTCCAGATAGATGCAGTCAACCCAACCATCTCTTTCCTGTAATATCTCTGGCTCGATCATAGAAACTGAGTAAATTCGATACACAGGATCTTCCAGATCGAAAACCATACTGTCTGTCTGATATTATATCATTTCTCTCTAGGTGTTCTACCCATTTAGTTTTGATTAGTTTTTCCAATACTTTCACTATTACACTTGTCAATGATACAGGTCTATAATTGAGGGGGTCTTCCCTGCTGCCACTTTTGTAGATTGGAACTATGTTAGCCTGTTTCCACCCGTCTGCTACGATTCCTGTACACAGGGATGCCTGAAAGATCAGGTGAAGTGGAATGCTGAGCTCAGATGCACATTCTCTCAGAACCCATGGTGAAACGCCATCTGGGCCAGCTGCTTTGTTCTTACCGAGCTCCTTGAGCATTTTTTCCACTTCGTCTCTAGACACCTCTATGTGTTCTATGTTGTTCTCTGGAATTCTTATTGTATCTGGTTCCCTAAAGATTTCATTTTGTACAAACACACTTTGGAACTTTTCGTTTAGTGTTTCACACATTTCCTTTTCATCTTCCGTGAATCTATTTCCCATTTTCAACCTCTGAATATTATCCTTTACCTGCAATTTGTTGTTTATGAATTTATAGAATAGACCTGGTTCTGTTTTACATTTGTCCGCAATCCCTTTTTCAAAATTTCTTTCTGCCTCTCTCCTCACTGCCGTGTAGTTGTTTCTCGCATCTTTGTATCGCTGGTATGTTTGGGGGTTCGGCCTCTTCCTGTATTGATTCCATTTTTGTGTCTTTCGGTCTCTAGCCCTCTCGCAATTTCTATTGAACCAATCCTGTTTCCTAGTTCTGCATCTCTGTTTTGGTATAAATTTTTTTGTGCCTTTATCATATATTTCACAAAACTTGCCATACATCTCATTCACTTCCTTGCCTAGCATCAAGTCTGTCCAATTATACTCACTAAAAAAATTTCTAAGGTCACCATAATGTCCTCTCCTGAAGTCTGGTTTTTCAACTGCTTCAACCTCCTTATTTTCTTCCAGCTTATAACGCATTGCATACTTTATTCCCAAAAAGACATGGTCACTTTTACCCAAGGGAGGAAGGTACTGAATGTCAAATATCTCTTCCTCCTTTCTGGTAAATATCAAATCTAGCATGGAGGGAACGTCCCCTTCCCTCATCCTCGTAGCTTGTTTAACATGTTGATACAAGAATGTTTCCAGGATGAGGTCTACAAATTTACAGGTCCAAAAATCTTCTGTTTTAGCTTCATATGCTTCCCAGTCTATGGATTTCAAGTTGAAGTCACCGACTATCAACAGTCGTGATCTATCGTTATCCGCTCTCGCTATAATCTCTCTCATTATTGTTATAAGACCTTCACGTTTACTATCTAGCTCCTCCTTTGACCATGTGCTGCTTGGCGGTGGACTATATGCATTTATCATCATTAGTTTATCATCCTCATAGCAGATCTCTAGTGCTATTATGTCAACTTCTTGTGGATTGGCAGTCATTATTTCCTTCACCTTTAGGTGTTCTTTTACCAGCACAGCAACGCCACCGCCTTTCCTAATTTTTCTGTCCCGTCTCCAAATTGAGTAGCCCCTTGGGAATATGACCTCATTTAAAATTACATCTTCAAGTTTTGTCTCCGTGAGTGCAACAATGTCTGGTGTCTGCAGCTGTATTACATCACTTAACTCCAGTATCTTCGATCTCACTCCATCTATGTTGGTGTATGCAATCTTCAGGAACTTGTTCCCCCTCTCCTTATTCTTCACTCCCCCTCTCTCTATTGATTTTGTTGGTTTGCCTTTATGTACCACTTTACTGGTTTGCCTACCCCTATCACTTTGTAGAAAAAAGAATTTATTTCTTCTTCATTCCTGCTCTCATTTAAATGTTTTGCCTCGGCGAGGTTCAGTTTCAGCTTCTCTCTATCTTCTTTTGAAAGATCTCGTCTTAACGACCACCCTTTCCCATCCTCATCCCTTTGCAATTTTCTAGCATTCCTTAGTACTTCTTCCATCTGTTTGGCACCGTTTAGGGTGATCCTCAAAGGTCGATCTTTCCCTTTTACGTACCTGCCTATTCTCCTGTAGTCGCACACATTCTCTCTGTTTGTAAGACCTTCCACGAGGCCAACAATTTTATCTACTACTTTAGCTTCTTCTACAGCTCTTTCTGACCTAGATGTTATCGCCTTTTCTTTGCAGCCAAAAATGATCAGGGACTTACTCCGATCAACTGTGTTTTGCACCAACTTCGGGTTAGATGCCAATTCTTTCCTCACTTCTAGCCTAATGTTTGTTTTATCTTGGTTGCTGCAGTGTTTGACTTCCTTTACTGCTTCTTCTATTTTTTCCTTCTCCTTGGCCACTTGTGCATAAGTGAGTTGCATATCTTTCTTGCACTGTTTTATTCCCTGTGTAACTTCCTCCATCTGTGCTGACAAAAGCTGTTTCTCCTGTTGAATTTCCTTGCCTAACCTATTGTAGTCATTTATGTTTAAATTTACTTTAACTTCTTCCAAAGCTATTTTTAAGAGTTTATTTTCTTCTTCCATGGCTTTGCAATTTGTTTCCAATTGATTCTTATCCTTGCGCAAGTCTTTCACTAAACCCTCAAGACATAAAACTTTGCTATTCAAATGGTCATTACTTTCTTTCAATTTACTAATTATTTCTACATGAAAGTTCACTATAGTATCTAAATTTACCAACTTGTTATGTAGACTACTAATATCAATGCTTTCTTCATTGAATCCCTCAAAATCAAGCTCTGTTTTGTTTTTCCCCTTGCCAGTGGCCATCTTGAATGTTCTTCTCTGCACTGTAAACACTAGGGCAACTTTTTCTCATCCGATTTTTCACTTCCCTTAGCACTTTCCTGTTATCTCACCTATTTTTCAAGAGCACTATACCTTTATGTTCTCTGGGACACCACTCACTACCATCAACCTGTACTACAATACTTAGGATTGTTGAAATATGCTGGAGCTCCTCTGCTGCAAGTGTTGACCCTAGGGGTGTCACCTTTTGTGTTTGCTTCTATGTGTTCTTGCAGGCTCGGGACGGTTTTGCTCCTTCCCGTTTTCCTGGTACGTCTGTCGTCGTTCGGTGGGGCTTCCCTTGGGTCCTATTCCGGCCAGCGTCTGGATTTTTGGCCTTCTCGTTCGTTTGTTCATCTCTCATCTCTCCACGCTGTGTCTCGGCACTGCTAGTTTTCCTTCCGTTATGGTCCGGGATGCCGGATTGGGCTACTTGTAGCCGGTTGGGCTACTTGTCACCGTGTTGGGCTATTGGTGGCCCGCTTGGGTTCCGTTTCGGTTCGTTGTTTTCCTTACATGGGCCGGCTAAGTTGGCTTCTGTTTCCATGAGTTGGCCTGTTTCTTCAACGGATCGCTCGGGATACGACCCGTTGAGCTCCTTTTTCTGCTCTGTTGTTGGACGGAGTAGGATGGACCTGTGTAGCCCAATGTAGCCCGACCTGTTGGGCTACTTTTCTTTCGTGTCCTACGCATGCGCCGTGGGAGTTTGTTTTGGTTCCAGGCGGTGTGCACACGTGCTGGTGTTCTGCGTCCAGTTTCTCTCGGGGGCTTTGCCTCTCGCTCTTATCATTCTCCAGTCTGTGCCCCTGTGCCCCGTTGATTGGAACAAGTTTCATAATTTGTCATTTGTTCCAGTGTCCTCTTCTCGCAAAATATGGTAATGTAGAGTAACATGGAATGTAGCTAAAGTGTCAATTCTGATGTGTGTTTAAATGCAATAAGTTCACAATTCAATAACTTTGCATCATTCCTTATGCAATGACTAAGAGGGTACAACTAACATTGCAATAACACAATTTTACTGGTCATCACCCTCTTCTCCCGTCATGTATGCAAGAAGGCCGCTCTGTCACTGGGAAATATATCGCACCCTCCTCTACCTCCATCCCATTGTGTGCTGGTTCTTTGCCTATGAAGTCTATGACATCACTGAATGAGAGTTGACTTGCACTACATCTGTCTGATATGGCATCTCCCATATCCTTTCCATTACCTACATTTGTACAAATTTAAAACATTAAATTTTGTTACGTAATGCTAAATATCTTATTTCTAGAGTCTAGAGGAAAAGAAAGCAGCACTGGTGGACTGTGAGAAGCGCTTGTGTGAGTGTGAAGAAAGTGAGAAGCAGCTGATGAAAGAGAAAGACGAAGCTGCTGTTAACATTTCCAACCTTCAGGATGCCCTTAATGCTACAAAGAGTCAACTGTCCAGGTAATACCATTGATTAAATTTTAGATACACTTGTAAGTGTTGGATAATTATACAGTATTCCAAATCTGGTAACAAATTTTTCAGATGTATACCACTCATTGGGCAAGGTCCCATGAACCAAATCATGCATGGTTAAAGGGAATCTAACATTTTGTTTCACAGAGCCAGGTTTTTGTCACACTTTTCTGTATGGTCATTGTAGTACAAGTAAAGCAAGGGAGAAGGACATTTAGTGCTTGCCCTAATTGCTGGCTGGTCTGCCAGGCCACTACCCTTGACAGTCACCAGATGGCAGCATCTGCACATTAAACAGGGTTCCCCCCCCATCCTCTCCTGCTCACCATTCATAACCTGCCATAAAAAAAACAAAGCACTGGAGCTGGAGGAACCAAATGCCCTGTGCAGAAACAAGCTTTTCATATAAATAAAATAAGTCTGGTTCAGAGCAATTACGCACTTGCTACTTTTGGCAAAAAAAGTCAAACTGGACTGTCCATGACCGTGAAGCATAAGGGTGATAGACCTGCCTGTAGTACAGAGTGGTGCCAGATAAAGCATTGGAATTGGAAGGAAACAATCTGTCTCCCATAAAGTTCTCATATCCAGCCACACAGAAACTGAAGAGGTGATCGTGTGAACGAGAGCACCTAAAGGCAACACAGCCGGTATCAGGCATGGAATCTAATGAGAGGTAACGCAATGCAACGCTACAAGTAGACTACCAAAATTCCAAAACACAGAATATTAATGTAACAAAGCTGAACACCTTCAGTATTAAATCGTCAATATGCAGTCACATATTTAGTTGCTTATTGGAAAGTTTGCATCACAAAAGGTAAGCATCTTGTAAAATGTTAAGTTTAGCAGCAGATTATTTAATAAACCAAGGTGTACATTATTCTCACATCATAATATCTTGTTGTCATTAACCAGATTGGAGATTACGTTCAGTGAGGAAAAGACAGCAGAGGTGTCTCGTGTCACTTGCACGTTGGAAGCAGATATTCAAGACCTGAGAAATGCCAATGCAGCATTACAAGAGGAGCTCTATTCCTGGAAAAACAAATTCCAACACCTGGAAGAGATGATTGAGCCTTTCAGAGTAAGTTGGATTTTTTAGTTTTTGGATTTAGTGTTAAATGATAGCAAGTTCGAAATAGTGCACGTTTGTCCATTTTGGCTTGTGAAGGGATGCACGCTACTTTACATTTATGAACAATATGGCTGAGGGTATCTTTTGGGACGGCAGTTGCATGGTAGGTCAGTGGGACGAGGTTTAGCATGTAATGCAAGTACAGTACAGTATTTGCCACCTAAGCCTGGTTGCTTACTTGTTTTATGTGGCTAGTGCAAGGTGGCAATGTCTTGTTACAGAAAATTCTATAAAGGTGGAAGAGTGACATGTGTAAATCTTGTCATGTGGTTTAGTCAGTCTCATTTTTAAATACAATTTAAAGGGGTTCTTCACTTGAGAAGTTGGATGATTATGTTCTTTGCTTTCTCTCTCCTCTCAATTATGCAATTCCCAAAGCTGTTTGTGCAATCAAAGTTGAGATTGTAGTGTCAGACGGAAGAAAAGTTGCTGTTGCAATGAATTACCTTGTAAACATTATTTATGATGGTAAAAATCTGTGAAGCATGTGTGGTGCCATGTTAATAGAATAAGGAATGAATGTATCATGGAGAGTTGTGGAATACAAAAATGAATAAACAGCATGATTCAGAAGAGCTTACAGAGATAAAGTGGGACCTTGCACAAATGAACTACACTAAACGGACCATTTTTGTTCCGCGTAAGATTTCATTAGATCCACCAGGCATTTTTTTTTAACCTCTACTGTATTGTAATGTATCACATTAACGCATACCTTAGCAGAAGAGTATTATTTTACCGGAAGCACATTTGGGGAAAGTATATGCCTTCCTGATGATTGGTACTCTCACTTGGAGGTGCAGCTCAAATTAAGTCGCTGAATATTGAATTAAATATAGAAATTTATAATCCTGGGGAGAGAGATAATTGGATTAATTGCAAAACAAATGGTGTTAACATTATGAATTATGGTTTGTATTTATTTGGTGCAAACATGAGAAAAACAAATGTATGCAGAATGAAAGTGCTTTATTTTGTATACCGTTAAAGTGAAAAACCTGGAAGGAGAGGGAGGGAGGGAGGTACATGTGACTGCTACTTCATACTACTACATTTATGAAAGAAAAATACAATCAAACAAGACTTTTTAAATTTACCAATTTAGCTTATTTCGTGTATTCAAATAATGCATAATAATTGGAAATTTATTCCTGTGATATATGTAAGACAGTAAGTTAAAGAATTGGTGATTTGACTCATCACAACAATCCTACCTGTTGGTGGGACTGGTTAGCGTTCCATGCGTATTTACAGTTCGGTAGTTTATCTCGATAGCATTGGGATTGGCTTATTGAATAAACTATGGCTATCTAACTTCATTAGTTACTCAAAATCCCTTTTGTCTGAATCATTCACATGAAACTGCTGGTTTAAAGCAGAGTTAAAGTAATAAGACATACATATACAGTATATTGCTCATACATACATACAGTGATACCTTAGTTTACGAATTTAATCCGTTCCCAGAGACGGTTCGTAACCCGAAAATTCATAAACCGAAGCAAATTTTCTAATAAGAAATAATGTAAATTGAATTAATCTGTTGCACACTCCCAAAACTTCAAAGTAAATTTCATACCTAATTCACCCAAATCTTTAATTCTAATGTATGTAAAAGTTGTTGCTTTATTGATGACTCTTGTTGGCATATGAAAGACTGTAAGGAGGGGGGGGGGAGAGGTGTTAGTTTTTGGAACGGGAGTCCCCTTCCATTATAACATCAGGTAGTGATGACTTCTCTGGGGTACTCACTCTCTGGTGTGTTTTGCCTGCATATCACTAGGATCTACTTGTGGCTCACTGCCTGTTTTTCTCACTAAAAATCTAGCCATAGAGGCTTGTTTTTCCCTACGTTGTAACACTTGTCTGCAGTGAGGCATCGCAGTGTCATTAAAAAGGTTAAGGCAACGGCCTACTACAGCTTTCTCTTGGAGAGTCGTTTCAACAAAAGTTTGCATTTCTTCCCACAGTCTACACCACTTCCTAATTGCTGAGGAAGGGACATTCTGTACTGCCTCCTCCTCCTCCCCTGAAGTCATTTCCTCAGCTGATCTTTTGTTTTTCCTCTATTGTCATCCCCACATGTGTTTTCTTGGATTAAACCTTACCACTGGCTTTCTTGGGACTCATGGTGAGATATATTATAATAACTTGTATTCATTACCCAAGAATCCAACAAACACTGATTACAAAGAATTCAAGTGCTACTGTCACTAGGCGAGAGGCACTGATAAACTGAGAGGTGGTCGCCGTGCCACCGTGCACTAGGTCGGCCATACACGTATCGACAAACTACGTTTCCCGAGGCAAAGTTTGCAACCCGATTCGGATTTTACGAAGAAATTTGGCTTGTAACCCGAAAAGTTTGTAAAGAGTGGCATTCGTAAGCCGAGATGTCACTGTGTATATAAAATAAAATATACAATACTTTCTGTATTATTTTAATACTAATTATTTTATACTAATAAATTAGTACAGTGGTACCTCCGTTTTTTAATTTGACCAGTTCCCAGAGATGATTCAAAAACGAATTTTCCCATAACAAAAAATGTAAATTGAATTAATCTATTTCACATACCCAAAAATAGACTTAAAAATACATTTTATTTGGAATACTACTCTACTACTTATATTTTTCATACACAAAACAGTCTGGTATAAATATAAAGCCATAAATAAAATAAGTGAACATTGAACTGCACTTTACCTTTACTGAGGACTCTTGTTGGCGTATGGGAGACGGTGAGGAGGGAGGGAGGAGCAGTGTTGGTGTATGGGTAGGGTGAAGGAGGTGGGTAGGAGGTGAGATTGTCCTCCCTGCTCGCCTTAAACGATTTCTTATCTGCATCACTGGTTCCAGATTTTCCTTTCGCACATTTCACTGCCTCTGTCATGTGGGAACCAGTCAGTCACATGTCGGTCAAGAATTCAATCAAGATCAGCCACAGGCAGTCATAACCAAAGGCAGTCAAGCATTCACAGTTGTAGTAGCAACCGATTAGGTATTTATGGTCAGTCACGCATTCAGTCAATCAGGCTTTCACAGTCGCAACCAGTTGGTTAGTAAAAAATAAGAGTTTAATGACAGGCTCTTAGGGAATCTGCCTCCCGATCCATCAGCTGGTAGCAAGGGAGCCCACCGTGTTAATACCGTCCATATGGCTGGGGAGAGGGAGGGGGGGTCCGGTGTCCTCACCTATTTGTGCTTGCAGGGGTTGAGCTTTGGCTCTTTGGTCCTGCCTCTCAACTGTTAATCAACTGGTGTACAGATTCCCAAGCCTACTGGGCTCTATCATATTTACATTTGAAACTGTGTATGGAGTCAGCCTCCACCACATCACTGCCTAATGCATTCCATCCGTTAACTGACACTGAAAAAGTTCCTTCTAACGTCCCTGTGGCTCATGTGGGTACTCAGTTTCCACCTGTGTCCCCTTGTTCGCGTACCACAAGTGTTGAATAATTAATCCTTGTTTACCCGGTCGATTCCCCTGAAGATTTTGTAAGTTGTGATCATGTCTCCCCTAACTCTTCTGTCTTCTACTGTCGTAAGGAGCATTTCCCGCAGCCTTTCCTCGTAACTTGTGCCTCTTAGTTCTGGGACTAGTCTAGTGGCATACCATTGAACTTTTTCCAGCTTCAAGACACGGGCTCCATGCTGGGGCCGCATACTCCAGGATTGGTCTTACATATGTGGTGTACAAGATTCTGAATGATTCCTTACACAGGTTCCTGAACGCTGTTCTGATGTTAGCCAGCCTCGCATGTGCTGTAGACGTTATTCTTTTCTGGGGGGAGCCCCGTCGGCTCCCCGGAGCTTTACCGGCTGATATGCTAATGTCAGACTTTGGCATCAGTCATGTGTATGGAGTTCTAGGGCCTACCGGGGACCACGAGCCAGAACCTGGCCCCCTCAGAGAGGCAAGGGGAGCAATGGCCTATAGAAACCCCCGTGTGGTTGGAAGCATTCTATGTCTGCCATCGACCGGGTCAAGCATCCAGAAAGGTAAGCATTCCAAAACAAACCCCTATTCTGGTGAAAATTGCTACCTAAGCCGAACTAGTGAATAGAACTCTTCAACAGAAAACACGGAAACTAGTATGACGTCATACGTCACCGCGCCGCTGTCTGCGCAGCTCCCCCCTCCCCGGGAGGGGGAAGGGGGAGCCCCAGACCTCCCACGCCGGCTATCCACCCATCAGTTCTTCGGCTGATGCTATAGGCAATGGTTATGTGCTCCGGCTCCAGTGGTTGTTTCAGCACTGTACCTAGAGTGTGGTGTCTGTTTTCTAGGTGGTGCGTGAGCCGGGTGTGATTCTTCAGTACTCGGGCTGCATGCGCCTAGGGTTCCCTTCCCTAGGTGCCCTGTAAGTACTGCCCTTGGGGCTTGGGGCCACCTTCCACAAGTTCCTTGGGTCCTGCCCCTGCTTGGCCGTTTACCGCTTGGTTTTCGGCCGCTCTTTGTGTGCTCGGGTGTTCTGTCTCCCTTGTTCGCCTTAGAGTAAGGGGCAGTGTTTGCACTGGTGGGGCGCGGGGTACTGTGCAGCTTGTCTTTACCAATCATAGCGGCCGGCTCTGTTCCGCTTGGGTACGCTGTCCTCTTGCGGGGTTTTCTTTTTCTTTTGTTTATATACCTGGTGGGGGGTCTGCCTTCGTTCTTGCCCCTTGTGTCCCTTGTGTTCTGAGTATTTCTGGTGGTACCCCCTGCTAGATCCCCGTGAGTGTACACGTCCCGGGGGTTCAGCTCTTAGAAAGTTGTTTGGTAGCTTGGGTGCCGGTTAGCAGTACCCTGCCTGGGATTACCTGAGCGCGAGTCCTCTTAAAGTAAACGCTCGGGACCCTGGGAAACCCCTGGGGGCGCGCGGGTCCGATGGATGTGACCCCAGAGCCCCCCCCTCGCTTCCAGCGAGTTTGAGGGTTGCTCTCACCTTTTGTCTCTGGGTGACTC